TCAACATCGACAGCAGTTGGCAATCAATCCGCCGAACGAGAAATGCCTATTCTGAGCTCTGAAACTTCTACCGGCAGGTATTATGTGTGTGCGCCTCAGGGGACTCATCATACAGGTCGATATTATAAAGGTGTGCCAAACGTGGGCGGAAATGTGGGGTCAGACGGGGCTGTCGCGTAGAATACCCCGCCACAGCCCCACCAAGCCCATTCATAGCCCCCTCTATCCCCGCCATATTTGAGGGGGTTCGGTGGGGCTGGTGCTGGCAGAGGGGAATTGAGTTGTACCGGGTAGTGTAGCCATAACCGACAAATGGAAGGCGTACACCCGCCAGCCACCAGAAGGTTATGAACACTACACGGTGAATCACCCGGTAAATTTCGTGGACCCAAATACTGATAAATATGCTGATGTCATGGAAGGGTGTTGAAGTAGGTTAAAGCGAGTCTACAAAAAGTGGTCCTATCTCCGAAAAGCGGCATGGACACGCGTAGACAAAGTGCCATATCGACCATGGTTCGGCACAAAACTGCACGCACTTTCGGAGGGCCGGGATATATTCTCCGGTCATACATCAACAGTTAACTCTGTTGAAGTGAAAACCATGCGTAAAACAGCAAACGAAACAGGTACTGCGAACCCTCCGCCAGCAGGTGCATACCAGCAACTGACAGTGAATCCAAGTTTTGGAAAATAAGCACCGAGTTTATGCCATCACTGCAAGCACTTGAAACTGCCTCGGTACTACAGCAAGCAGTGTAAGTTGTAGTTGATTAGACAGAGCAAACTAGTTTGCTTGGCGGAAGCAGCGGGAATGAAAACCAACCGATGCTAACCGACCTGCCAACAACCGGCACTTAGTCCACTGGTTAACGAGTTTTACCGATGCTGTCTGTACACACATTAACTGGCACAATGATAATATAAATAAGGACGGTATTATTTGTACTGGATATGAAAGGTTGCTATGGCGTAGCGAATTTCAAGACAAGCAACAACACAGCGTGGATCTAGCATAAGATAAGGGGGAAGGCAGGTCCCACTGTGCCAAAGCGACAGAAACTCCCAGGATTGGAAAACGAGGAGTGTGAGAGCGCACGTAAAATGCGAATACGTGTGCAGGGCATGAAGCCTAACTATCACAAAGCGGATGTCAAGACACAGGGCAACGCATCATCGATCTAACGAGGGATGCGGAGGTTCCACTCTGACCAAGCAGGAGCGACTCGCCGGATTAGAAAACTAGTGGGGGCAAAGCCCGATTCAAACGTAACCGCGTGTTCTGAGCATGGAGTCCGACTATCACAAAGCGGACTTCAAGACGTACGACAGCGCATGGACAATCTCGGCAAAGATACTGAAGGTCGCCCTCTTCCGGAGTTACAGTCACTCTCCAGATTGGGGAACGGGGAGGTTTTGGGCGCGATTCAAACTCAAACATGTGTACAGCGTATGAAGTCTAGTTATAACTGAGCGGATATGAAAGCACGTGGCTGCGCACGGTCACTGGAATCGAAGATGCCGTTCAACAATAACTCACTAGATTGTAAGTTAATAAAGGCGTAAGCGCCGGTGAAGGGACGTAACATACCTGAAACGGAAACGTACACTATTTAGAATCGCCTACTTAGCAAAACTAAGTAGACGTGTTGTCTTAGTTAATTACGCTGGGAGGACGTGTCAGTTACTCTTACCCTGCCAATCGCTGATAGAATGTGATTGCCACATCGCTTGATGGTTTTGCGTATCGTTGACGAACCACTTCAAAATTCATGAAATAGACGACGAAGTCGCTGCCTTGGTCTTAACGGCCCTTTGGGCTTCCTCACGCCGAAAAGCCTAGGGATCAGTGCACTCCGTGGAGGATTGCCACAAAATCTCAAGCAGCAATCTTCAGTGCCGGTCCACTAGAGCTAACGAATAAAAAGGCGCGAAGCACGTATGATGTCAAAATAGTCAATTGAAACAGCAAACACGTAACCCCAGCCAAAATATCCGTACGTTAATATTAACTTCCAGAAACCGCATTGGCTGCCTTTGACGCGTCCAGTTCCACTGCAGTGTCAACTTGACCGACCAATCTGCTGCCCTGCAGACAATCACTTCCGACCTTATTGCTGTTAGTGCCTTTCTCAGATATTTTTTACCGTAACACCACCTTCTAGTTCCTGCTTGCACTCTATTCACTGCATATGATACACTGTACAAACACAGAACACGATCACGGGCAATGCAGACACAGTGGCAACATGCCTCCACTGCAATTGACCTTTCAATTCGCGCACACCCTGGTCAGGCACCTGCGAACCTATCGCGGCGCGGGTGATAACCCACATCTGATTTTCACCCACGACTTACCGGCATGCCTAACGCACTAAACTCCACTACAAATTCCGATGCAAGCCCGAACCTGTTCGCGTTAAGTGAAATTTCTGGGGTTATCGTAAGTCCAAGACCGTAGTAGACAGATGGCCGCCTCCTCATTGGAGCAGCGTTGCAAGTAGGTGTACCTGGTAACAGTATTTTGTTAAACTAAGGGTATCTCCTCAACACATAACCTAAAAGTAACCAAACATTTCACTGGATAACAGTGAATTAACAGTCCACAACTTCTCATTCAAGTCACGTCAAGCCACTTTACTAAGAGAATAGGCCTTTGGATCTTTAGCTCCCTATTCATATCCGAAAATATCAATAGGATAAATTTTTACAGCAGTGATTCTGGCAATTGTATGCTTATCGGCATGCGTGAGCCAGAATCTAACTGCCGCAACTGACGCAATCTTCATTATTAGCATAAAGCATTCCGCAACAAATGAGTATATAGTTTCCATTCAAATGTTTCAGCAGTTTCTGAAAGGACCACGGCGTCAGGAGATTCGTTTTATTCTCCAGCGACCCTTTGCGGGAAGACTTTCCTTCGGGGGGTTCGTATGGTCCAACCTCCTCTTTAGCTTAAGGGAACGCCCACGCAGACGGTTCGTCCCAGCCGATTCGAAGAAGTCATCAAACTATAGGGCGCGCACTAGGCCTCTAGCGATCCATTAGTTTTGAATGAGGTCGCCACGTAGTTGCCCGTAATTGAGAGGAAACAGATTAGGTTCCTCAAGTTTGACTTCGTAAGACACTCGGCCAAGATTCCTTATCATCTTTGTAGCCCTCACCTGCACTAGTTACAGCTGTTGATAATTCTTCTTTAACCACGGACGCTAGGTCTGGGCGGCATGCTCTAACCCTGCCAGCACCAACCACTCTTAGCCCTGCCTAGCCCCATCAAAAATGGCGGGGCTAGAGGGGGCTATGAAGGGGCTTTGTGGGGCTGTAGAAGGTGGCTGTGGAGGGGAATTCAACATGACAGCCCCGCCTGGCCCCACCAGCGAAAAAATGCGCAGGGGACGCCAGATTTCCACCCACTTTTGGCACTCCTTTAAAATATCGACCTGTATGATGAGTCCCCTGAGGCGCACACACATAATACCTGCCGGTAGAAGTTTCAGAGCTCAGAATAGGCATTTCTCGTTCGGGGGATTAATTGCCGAATGGTATCTCCAATATGAGTTTGGTGGTGATGGGGGGTTTAAACGGTGGGATATATGAAAACAGAGAAAGTTGCTGAAATTCGGAGACAAAAAATAACTAACCTGCATACATTAATTAAATTCTTTACAGTAATAAGCCTATCCCAGTAAGGTAGCCGTACAGATCAAGGGTACTCAAAGTCTTGGCAATGGAAAGGCAGAAAGTGGAAGTTGAAGTATGCCTGATGAGTAAGATCACACGGGCTGAATCTGGCGAACGCAAGCTAATTAGAATAGGAGGAGTTTAAGCCACTTCTACAAAATTTCTATCTCCATTTACGTCCATTAGAAAGAGCACAATGGAAGATGTGAATGTCGAACACGAAAGGCAAGCCTATAGCGGAAAATCTAACGTGAACTGACAATCTTACGGAGTGTACAAAGTTTTTGTTGTATTTGTTGGCAGTGTTCTTAATAATTTGTGTCGGTAGAAAAGCAAGCACGCAGAGTACGGAAAAATGAAAGTGGACTAGGGTTGTTCCATTAACATCAAATACGTTCGTCTTACTCTCATAGAACGCATCAAAATGTGCGGTCAAGAGGAGGAGGGTCATAGGTAGAAAAAGTGGCAAGGGAGGACGAAATAAAGCGGGCCTGGAAGAATCTGGGCATGTAGCATACTATCGAAAGAATATTTTGCTGCCTTGAAAACTAACCTATCAGTTACGTCATATTATGACCCAGCAGATACTACTGGAGTAAACAGATGAATATACGTTTATATGCGACCGTTATAGGCGAAAGAGAGCACTGCAAACGGGGTCTGTTAACAGTACGACCGGCTGCAGAACTCCTAATGGAACCGACACGTCCTTCACCTGAACATCAAGTAGAAAATGCGCAAGGCCGTTGTCCTGACTAAACTTCTGTACGGGGCGGAGACGTGGACCGTCTACTCCAGCCATCCTAGGAAGCTCAACCATATCCATCTCAGTTGTCATCACAGAATACCGAGGCTGAGATGACAGGACAGGATCCCGGACATGAAAGCCCTAGGATGGACCGGAATGCTCAGCATCCATGCCATGCTAGGACAACTGTAGCTGCGACTGGGCCACCACTTGGTTACAATTGGCGATGTTCGTTTACCCAAACGACTTATTTATGGATATGTTACTATGGGTGCACGCCGACAGGGAAAACATGTATGATGCCATAAGAACACTTAAAAAATTTCTATGAAGCGACTTCAGACCAATCCAGGCACCTTGGATGACGTCACTCGAAACAGACCGGCCTGAAGAAAAACAGTTAAGACTGGCGCAGCCATTTACGAAACATACCGGATCGCCGTCGTCGCGGCCAAATCGGAGAGCGAAGTCCGCAAGTCTTTGTCCCCCTTGACCCTCAAAACTGTCACTTAACCCCTCCTCAACGAACATTTCGCGCGCGGATCGGCCTCTTCGGTAATCTTCGAACCAAATGAACAGGCCTACTGACAACCGCAACGGCTACCTCTACGACGGCCCCACCCTACCACCCGCGCCATACACGACGGCGCCCGCTCTCATTATCCTTGCTCCGAATCCCCGCGCCCCACCGTCGTCGATCACCGCCACCTCCACCATTTCTGTCACAATTACCACGGCGACGATAAATACGATCACCTCTGCACTCTTCGACGCCGATCGAAACACTCCAGGTGTCCCGTCAGTTACCAGGACCTTCGCTAACAGCGATGCGGACTCGGTCCCGACCTGTCCTCATTGCAACTGCACATCCACCTCACAAATCGACCTAGTCATTCACCTGCGAATCCATCGCACAGAGACTGGCGAACCAGTGCTTGGAGCCACCACACCCACCTTCGCTGCCCTCACTGTCCATGTGCATCCACCCACCGGCCTGTTAGTTCACATGCGCCTTCATATAAGCCTACGGTAAATCATTGCAGACACGCAGCACCAACACCACACATTCCCCCATCAACAAATGCGCCACGCGTACATCTCTCCAACAGCCCACATCCCCGGAAACTCTAACATAAGCTTGAAACGCACTTTTCGGCCCCTTCCTTCGTGTGGCTCTTCTGTCGTATGTAACATTCGAGCATTCTATCTTGCTGTGTCTGAAATCCTGATATGCGCTTTTGGGGGATCATGTCGTGCATACAGCGCGCGCAAACGAGCAGTCTTGCTCCTTTAGCCATTGCGCCCATTCCCTTACTAGGCATCTGATCGGCTAGGCCAGTGGCTGGGGTCTAGGAATGGTGATAGCGAGTGTAGTCGACGACTCAGCTCACCTTCCTCACTGCAAATAATCGGATGTGGCTGAGGCTTTCACGGTGCTCTAAATACCGTGGCTAGGAAGGTTGCCAACTGACGGGACAACCTAAACCTCTCAGCCAGCCCACTGTATGTTTGTGTGGTGTGGCGGACTAGACGTCAGACTGCAATGGCTTCTTTTTAATGTGGCCTCTATGGCACTCCCACTCCGTCGGATCTGATTAGGGTGTGGCGGCACACCCTAGAGCGGCCTCAGTCGTGCCAGCCACCTGTTCCCTCCCACACCTTCGATTATCTTGATCATGTCTTGGTAGCGAGCACAGGTGGGGAAGGAGTAGAGAGCGCAGTGGACGCTGCGCGAGCCTACTGCCAGTAAAAGTAACGAACGTGCAGGTCACCGTCCTTCCTCTCAAACTGCTGCTGAGCAAACGGTAACAGCATCGAACTCAAGGGTTGCACTGTCATATTCTAAATAAAGTATAAAAGTCAATTTTAAAGCAATTCGATCGTTCTAAAACTGAGAATGTGCAAAGGCACTTTACCAGAGAAGTCTTCTGTCCGACACACCAGTGAAAGCTGGTCAACTTGACAAGCGGTCATCACGCTGACGTCTAACACGAATGAGGAAATTGCAGCAGTTAACGACTTCCACGCGGCCTGACGAACCATCATCGCCTCAACTACGATCCCCGGCGCTGATCGCAAGAGCTGCTAGTTGTAGTACGCATGTGGCCCCACGGAAGCTACGTACTATAAATACTGCAGTCTTTGTGCCCCTACTATCTTTATCTGCGACCGTCTCTAAAAATGGGTTCGAGTGAGAATCCGAAACGTCGAGCTAATAACCCTCTTGTTACAATGGTAGCGCCTTCTTTTTCCTTTTCTTCTTCTTCTTCTTCTTGTGAACCTTTCCCGGCAACTCGCTTGTTCTCTTTTATCGGTAGTCCAAATATTCCTCGGATTTTAACCTTTACCCCTCTCAGTTGTCTATTCAACCTTATCGTTTCTCCTTCGTTTTAACCCACTGTCGCCTCCCCCACCTGTAATCGCTTCCTCTCCTTTGTTTTGAAGGAAAATTTTCATTGGATCAACCAGTCAATCCTCGTTAAATCACCAAATAGTCTATATAGTTTTACGAAAAGACCGCCCTTATCTTATCGCTGGCACAAGTAACTTTTTTTTTCGTTCGCAAGCAGTTTTCTCCGTGACACTGAAAAAGGACCGTTGGGCTTGCATTTTCTGCTCCGCATGTGGTTTCGCTTTTGATGGTATCTCACCAGGAATTCCCATTCTTCAGTCACAAATCGAGTCCTTCTCAATACACGCTTTCCTCCCTAACCGACCTCCCTGACAACAGGATCGTGGTCATGTTGACTCGCAGGTTGTAAAACACGTCCGTCGTACTCGCTGCCACCATTCAGTTGAATTCTGTTCTGAACGCTGTAATGTCCAGGCCTCACCTAGCATCCGCAGGTGCACCAGGGAGAGGCTGCGTTTTCAACGGCCCATTGGCTTCTATGATGTTATCCTACTCTCGGGAAAAAGTCATATTTCTGTTACATATTTCTTCACGGGGGGTTGTTCTATCGAAGATTTTTTAAAGCGAGCGTTACCTGAATGCTTCCCCACTTTCAACTTTAAGAGCCTTTTACAATATTTTTTTTCGGAGTTCACCAACTCTTCCAAAAAAGTTGCACTATCAAAAGTAGTACGTGCGAAAGGACAAATCACCGACTGTCGCGAAAATCTTTGCGTAGTTTACGTAGCACAATTTCTAAATTCCACCGTACATCTGACCGTTCACACAAACCCTTACTGTTATGCAATTTCTGCATTTTACCCATTGGCTAGGCATTAAATTTGTTTGGACGGTGTCATTTCTGCGCTCAAAGATAAAACTGTTATTACAAGCGCAAAGGGAATCGCCAAGTCTGCGACACTCACCGCGGCATCTCCCTGCTGAACATCGCCGGGAAGATCTTCGCCCGCATCCTTCTCAACCGCCTCAATAACCATCTGAAACAGGGCCTTCTGCCGGAAAGCCAACGCGGCTTCCGTCGTCATCGTGGGACCACGGATATGATCTTCGCAGCCCGCCAACTAGAGGAGAAGTGTCAGGAGATACGGACCCACCTGTACTCTACCTTCGTGGACCTGACGAAAGCCTTCGACACGGTCAATCGTGAAGGACCGTGGAAGATCATGCAGAAATTCGGCTGTCCGGAGCGATTCACTCAGATGGTGCGTAAGCTGCACGACGGTATGATGGCGCGAGTCACGGACAACAGAGCTGTCTCAGAGGCATTCGCAGTGACCAATGGAGTGGAGCAGGGCTGCGTTCTGGCGCCTACCCTCTTCAGTCTTATGTTCTCTGCCATGCTGATGGA